CATGGGTGCTTTCCATGTGAGAGAAAAGTAAAAGATTAATAGCAGTGGTAGCTCCTTTAGGGGCTTGATTGGGAAGAGAGGCATAGTTAAACAGATGAGCTCCGAGCCTGTGCTTAAGTCTAGGAGTTAAAAGAAAGCTTTTGATGCTCTCCTACATATAGCTCAGCTAAATCCAAAGGGTCAAGTGTCTCATCTATAGACAGAGAACATAAAGTTTCCAGTAAAACATCACTGCTGAAGACAATGCCAGACCTGATTTAGCTTACATGAAGAGAAAAATTAGTGAGAACAAAGTTTTTTTTTTATTGCTCAAAAATGCTTTTTACACAATGCATTATGAATTACAAAGATATTTGATAATATAATTGACATAGTGGTGCAATCAAGCTAGTCCATGCTTTTTTAAAAGAAGGAATAAACAAGGACTGGGGCAACCCCAGATGACTTTTCTCTGCCAAGGGGCATAGACTCTACTAAACAGCAGCTCCTCAAGCATGTGCAAGAAAGGGTATGCATACTGAACAGCATGACTGTCGAAGCACCATGGAAGATGGAAATACCACTGCCTGTCGCTGCATACTAAGCATAAATAAAGAAGAAAAAAATAATGCATTAATCTTAATAAACTGTACTGAAGGTGGAGAACTTATAGGGACCCCCATGAGATTTGGACTCAAAATTTGCTGTTCTACTAGACAGGTAACTTTTCACATTTTTCATTAGCAGCTCAAAACTCTGCTTCTCTGTATTAGTACCATTTTATCCGTCATAGTTACCTGAAATACTGCTTCTGAGGTTTGGGCACAAGCTTAAGGTGTGTGTTTAGTCAACTGGGAGAAGAACAGAGGGTTTCTCATTGGAAAAAAAAACAAACAAACAAAAAAGCAGTTGGGGATATGGCTTACAGTTCATCCTCTGCAGAATCAGGGAAAATTCCCTAATTTAAAATGACTACAAACAATGCAAAAATATAGAAGTGGTACTAGAATTGACCAGACTGGTGATTATGTCTTCTAGCAGCTTAAGTCCATAGCAGCATAACTGCAGAGTTGGCTCAGGATAACCAGAGCCACTCTAACTGTATAATCTTTTTCAAAAAAAGCAAAATAAGTAGAACTATGAAGTGAAAATCCGTCATGCTGATAACACACCTATCTCTAATCTTTTTACATTGTATTTTGTGTTATTCTATTGTTCATTCACTGTTCATATTAAATATGCTTGTTCAGATTTTCTACTTGGCTAAGCTTCCTAAAGCTGGGCCTGAACTAAATATTTGATAAAGGTCTTTTTTTTTCAGCATTTTATTGTCATTACACTGTCACAAGTACAGCACAACGAAATTCACTCTCTGCATTTAACCCATCTCCTTGGGGAGCAGTGGGCTGCCATTTACGGCTCCCGGGGAGCAGTTTGGGGTTAAGAGTCTTTGCTCAGGGACCCAGAGTGGCTGTCTGTGGGAGTGGGTTTCAAACTCACAACCTCAGGATTCCAAGCTCTATACTCTAACTACTAGGCCACCACTCCCCTATTTATCCTGTTTAATTGGATAAATCAGTTAGAGAAGTTTTTGTGACATATATTTAAAGAACATTACCAAGCCATGAAGCAAAAGTTTGGTAAAATGATGCACATAAAAGAGAGCCAGCCATATTCATTGATTGATTTTGTTGTGGATTTTGGCTTCAGTAGTAGCTTTTATTTGCAGTATATAGAAAATTAGGTAAAGAAAGAAGGGGAAGACATGAAGTAATGATCTCTGTGTTGGTAGGAATAAGTATGTGGGTTGTGCACTCTGCTTCTGCTCTACCGCGGTGCCCCAATTTATTTTAAACTGTACTTTTATGTTCTAAGAAATTTGTCTCCAAATGAATTTGAATCAAAAGAAACATGAATCGGGAATCAGTAGGGCTCCCTGCGTCAACCTCCAAGGCACATATTACAATAAATCTGTTTGTTTGATTCCCACATAGTTTTCCCAACAGCTAAAAGCCATGCTGGGTATCCTCCAGTATTTCTCATTTCTTCTGAAGAACAAGTTTCATCAATTAGATTCCCGTCAACGATAGAGGCCACAGTTTCCATAGAAACTTAGCTGGTTGGCTAGCAACCTATATTGCCTCTTCTCTCTTCATTTTGGTGTTGCTGTCAGACTGAATGTCCTTTTCATTACAAAACTGAACAGAAAATCAAATTTTTGGAAGTAATCATTTGTCTGATATGTTAGTTGAAGGCAATTTTCTGCAACACTTTTCAGTAAAATAAGCAGAGAAATGTGTTTCTGGTTTAAACAATAAAATGACAAGTCTGAAAAGTTTAAAATAATCATTTTTATATTACCATTGTATTGCTGTAGAGCATCTATCATTATATGTGGTAAATCGGTTTTCAGATGCAATTCTTTTTGTAGCTTTTCACATTTCGAATTGCAGCAGTGATTTTCATCTATTTCTTAGGGAAGGCACAGTTGCAGGTACGTGTGATTCAGAGAAGCTTCAATGTACTTTGGAGCCTTCTGGAGGTGTCTGCAATGACAGAGAATATGTGAGAGGAATTGCCCACATGATTTTTTCAGTGATATTTATGCTCCCACTTCATGCCCTTTTCCTCTAACACCCAAGTTCTGTACTTGACTGGAATTTCGCTTGATGAGAAATCAGAAAGGGCAGTGCTGTTGGAGCTAGTGTTCCTGTAAATGTGTCTGGTTCAGTGCCAGGAAGTATTCAGCTGATTCCATATACTGATAGAAGATCAAATGAAAATGAAAACACTGGGGGATAGGTGATTTTCCATGAGGACTTTGGGATGCTGATTTACTTGCAAAAGCAGATTAGGCTCGCTAAAGCTGGATAATCCTTTTATTATATCTTGGAATAAAGCATTTTGGCTTCATTCAATAATCTTTTATGATTGTTTAAAAAAAAAGGATTTTGTGTTTGATTTCTCACATTTGAACTTTTTTTTATATGATATGAAAATAAAATATTTTTTTGTCTTCCTCTTAACTTTATTGCCAGTTTATTGCATTAGTTTTATTGAAAACGTAGTTTAGATAAGTATATGATCATCTCACACAATCATTTAATGATGCATTTCCAATATTCTTTTCTAATGGTGAAATTTTTATTCCAACTGTGATAAAATGTGTTGGAAAAACACAAATGGTATGTGACAATATTTTTTGATATGGCCTTGGGTACAAGTTGTGAGACATTCTGTAGAAGTAGGCATGTTCTGAAGGTCTATTTTACCACTAGTTCTAATATGGCCTTGCCCAAATTATATGGGATATTTCTTTTTTTTAAATCCATCAATTTTCCAAGGTCCCTGCCAAGATGGCAGACTATCGCCATCGCAAGGTTGAAACGTGGGCACAACTGAAAAGTTCAAAAGAACAAACACTTTAAATCTATGTTGAGTAAATCTATAACATTTTGTAATGGGTCTTTGGACCCAAAAAAGTACCAGCACACGGACTGAAATACTACAGGGTTTTGTCAACAAAAATTTAATTTCTCGCTCCAGAATCACAGGGATCATATGCATATCTAAAGCGGAGAGAGAGAGAGAAGTGAGTGACTAAGATACAAAGTTTTTGCAGAAGAAGCATGTTAAAATATTTAGCTGAAAAAAGATTCTAGCAGGAAGAAGTCTGATAAAGGTCAAAACATTCAGTCACAGTTTGTGGGCAAAGAACAGGGTTTTGTTGTGGACTTGAATTGAAAATGCTTGATTTAAGTTGCATAACGCTTTAGATAATCTGGTAACTGGGCTGTAGCTGGAAACATGTTTTATCCTGGAGAGCAGCGGTGGAGATAATTAGACAGGCACAGGTGAGCATAATTAAATGAGTGACTTATCATTGGTAAGAAGTGGAGTTTATTCTGCTTCTGTAAAATTAGACGGTTGTGTGAATTATCTTCTTTTTTCAACTCTTGAAGTTATTTGATATATCATTGCATAGCTGCACATTACTTTAAGGATTATAAGTTAATTATATTGAGACTGTAGAATTACAATAATTTATAGTACATAGTTGTGAAACACTGAAGAATAATACACACATATTTTTTTTCTCCTGCTATCCTTATAGTGACTTTGCATTGTCTTCTATTTATTTCTCATACATTTCCAGGGTCTAAACCAGACCCTCATCTTAACCCTTATCAATACACCAAACCCTGCACCTAACAAAAGTCAATTCACACCTTCGTCCAAAACCTAACCCCCCCACCCTAGACAAGGAACTTCTCATGTGGACCAGTAGTTGCTCCCCTCATCTAGGTAAGGGAGTAAGTTAGTTTTTTCTTTAGTGCCTCTCACACACAGGAGAACGTCATAAGATGCATTACTTAGGAAATACTAAAACACGGTCAAATACAGTACAGGTAAAATATGGTTGAATAAAATCAACATGCTGGTGATAATACAGTTATCTTACTACCAATGTTAATCAATAGAGTCCTACAAACGTAGAAACAGTGGGAGATTGTTCCAGAGGCTCGGCGCAACAGCCTGTAAGGAGCGATCTCCTCTGCTGAGGGACGATAAGCCGACTCTGTTTGAGTGACCTCAGCTTCTGAGAGGTAGTGTAGGGACAGAAAAGGTCCATAAAAAAGATGGAGCCTGACCTTGGAGCGAATGTCAGCACTAGGATTTTAAAAAAATGGAGGAATATGAGCCTCCTATTGGTGAAAGTCAACAGCCTTAATGTAGAATTTGAACATAGATGAGACAGTTCCCTTTTGTTGAGACAAGAAAATAAACAGTCACAGTAGTCTAAATGAGAGGACATAAATGTGTGGGTGATAAACTCAAGATCATCTTTGGAAACAAATGTTCTCAGTGTGGAAATATCCCTTAACGTGTAGAAGCAGCTCTGGTCAGCCGCTTACTGCTTACAGCATATTCTGAGGCTTTTATTAAGAACATTTCACAGTGAAAAAAACAAATGCCCTTGTTCATAACCCCGTCTCTTCCCTTGTCTTCTTTACACTCAGAGCCCTCCAGGTTCCACTTCAGCAGACCCGAGAATTACATCAGCATGTACCACCAGGAAGGAAGTGATACGCTTTATGTTGGCGGCCGAGCAATGATCTACGTTTTGACTTTCTCTAACAGAGGAGTCCGTGACATGCAGGTAAAATTCACCTCAGCTGGCTTTGCTACCTTCTAACCAAATGTTCTGTGATTACTGTCATCCCTTATTGTGTCTGGTTAATCGCTGTGAAGTTCGGAGAGAAGAGTTGACTCAATCAAAAGTCAAGTCTGTATAAACCAAGAGCAATTTGCATGGAATTGACCACAGCCACGTGTGCATATTTGAATCCCTTAGACTAACACTAAATACATTTACAAATCAGTAGAAACAGCCGGAAGGCGTCCATCATGTGTCCATATCACTAGAAAAGCCAGCCAACCTAATCTTCAATAATTTAATCGACGAAGTTAAGAACCCAACAGAAAATAAAAAGTTTGTTGGCTCATTGTTGTACAATGTTGGTTTGAAGTCTAAAAAAGTTTTCTGAATCATTATCATCATTGTTATTAAGGCCTGATGCCCCACATATCTCTGTTAGGAACACCGTTTCCACGCACCTTTTGTACAATTAATGTTTAAATTGATTCTCGACTTAAGCCAAAAAAAATGATTAAAATGATTAATGAAATAGTAAATGAAAACAAGCCCTTGTGAAAGGAGCCTCTTTAAAGTCAATTCCAAATACAACTATTATTCAGAATTGTTATTATTTTGTTTATAGTATAAAGGAATCTTGATTTGGACCAGCCAACTGTGTTAACAAGACGATGTTTGCACATCACATTATACATGCATGGCTTTGTAGTGAAAAATTTGCAATGAAAATGATTCATAAAAGCAAATTAAATTCAGGCCTACAGATGATACCTTTATAGCAGTATGAGCGCAGTCAAAGCCCTGATACACTGCAAAAACTTCTTAAATTAAGTGTATTTACCCTTAATCTGAGTAGGTAATTGAGATTACTTGCCAATGGATTGAGTATTTTTAACTTGAAAAAATTAGATAATTAGATAAAATGCACTTAAATTAAGACAAAAAAACTGTTTTTCTCGTTTTAAATGTAAATTATCTTGTTCCATTTGTAAAGTGTCTCACTTACATCCTCAATTCAAGAAAAAATGCACCTATTTTAAGAAAAAAAGACAAATTTAGATTTCGATCTTTTCCTGTGTATCTTTTAAAAATCTAAACCCAAATTTGATGATGATTTTGATGTGCATTCAAGCACAGTTTCAGAGGATTTTATTTGAATTTTAATTTGAGTTACCTACAGATGAGGCTGCCCATTGGGCAGTCGATCATTATAAAATGCCGGACCTTTCAATACTTAAAAAAAAACCCAACAAGAAACAAGCAACTCCCCAACCCTTTTCTATGTAAAACCACATGCCCCAGGATTTTTAGTGCATACACACACTTTATATATTAGGCCCCTGGAAATCCTGTTAAGAATCACTGTCTTGTGGAGGTCTTTACTTCTGCTCTTAATATTTTGTCTTATTACTTTTACATGATGTCACAAAAAAGCAGTGCATCTAAGGTGCCTCTCTTTTTTAACTGAGGTATTTAAAGGGAAGCTAAGAGAAGCTTAAAAGCTATATTATTACATAAAAAGCTTTGTAACTTTAAAGTCATTGTTGACCACAGGAGGAATGACTCCTGCAGCTCTTTACTTCCTGCAGCCTCTTGTAAAACTGGTAGGGAATTTAAGCTAAGAATCTATAAGGTGAACATGACTTAACTTTTATAGATTAACTTCAAGAGCCACAAGATTAGCAACACTAAGCTTTAAAATGGGTGTAACACAAAAATAAGTCATTACCATTATCTGAATTATGATCTCAAGACAATAAAGCTTGTCTTCTCAAGCTGACATGACATTATCTTGACAGAACCAGAGACTAGTTTTTCTAGATAACAAGATAAAGCAAGATAGATTTAATCAGAATACAAGTGTAGTCTGGATTCTAATCCCTAAAAACCTCTTCAAAATAATCTATCACTGTCTTAGTCCTCTTTGCAGTATCTCTCTATAGGGATTTCTGTTTTCTCTTGATGCATCAAACTCATAGATGCATGGATGCACTTACCCAAACAATTCATCAGCTGTGAAATTTTATTACCAAAAGCCAACATTCAAAAAGAGGATGCCTTTAGGCCAAACAACAATCAGCTCTAGTTTCTGAGCAGATGTTGAACATAAATCACAGGTTGAAAGCACAGACCTTTCCAACCCATTCTGGATGGCAGTTATTAATGAATCTCTGGGTTCACTAGTTTGAAAATAAAGCTGAGGTTTGGCTTTTGTTGATCATTATGAGAAGGTTGGTGTCCCCCCATTTGTTTATTTCTTGTTTTTTTTCCTGCAGGCTGTTTGTATTACAGCTACAACCAAAATTTAGCAAGGGAATCGCCTCTTCTTTTCCTCAGTATTTGAATGAACAGCTGGTTGCATATATAGAAACATTTTTTTTAGAGTATAAATGGGAAAGACATTTTTTTTTAAAGTGATTAGCATTTTCAAATGAAAGATACTCCATGGATAAATAAGTTTTAATTGAATTCCATTTAATTGAACTAAATTCAAAAATATGTTATTAATCCCAAAAGTGAAAGCAAAGATAAGTTAGGGCAAGTTAATTTGATTTTGAAACAACTCTGGTGCTCAACACTTTCATTTTTAAATAGTATAAATTCACATTTCTTAAATATTGACTAAGAATTAATTGTATCTTTTTTCGTTTTGAAAGTAATTGCCATTCAGCACATTTTTGTTAAAATATGACACAATAACAAGTTCAGAGATATGACATTAACTTTTAATTTCCCACTCTTGTTTGGTCTCAGAATCTGAATTGTTTGACTTTTATCATTCTGTCAGAGTCTGTTGATAGGGCTGGAATTAATACATTTTATATTATCTGTTTGTTTGTAGTAAGGAACCAAAAAATAGTTTTTTTAATGTTTTGTGTATTTTTTTATAATATTTGTTTTCTTCCTGTTATGTTTTATTTTGTGTGTAATTTTTGGCATATAAAAATAATCTCAAAATACCAATATTCATACTTTTTACATGTTTAATTTTCCGTATGATGTAACTACATGTGACCATTTTGTCATATTGTACCAAATGTAATATGCCAAATAGTGTATACACATATAGAGATATGAATGCTGCCCCTCAGCTGACCCTGTGCTTTTGAAATTAGGTCATGCATACGACAATGAGCTGAACTTTATCTTTCAGAGGGGAGAACATTTTAACTGTGTTAATATTGACTAAATGTAAGCTCAAGATTACTCCCTTGCGTATCTTAAAGCACTGTAGATGCAGTAGAGTGTTTCACTTTGCTTTATGGAGCTGTTTCTGAGTGGGACAAATACAACTCTGAACACACACTGTCTCGGAACACACTTTAGTTATAGTGTCACATTTACTAATGATACTTAACTCTTTTCTAAACCTTTTCCATATAAAATATTAAATATATCCTCTAATATTCAACCACAAAGATTTTAAGAGGATGAAATATGAAAAGTAATAAGCAGCTATATGTATGCTGATTAATTGTGGACACTGACCAACATTATGAGGCAGGAACATTTGTAGGATATCAAAAACTACATCTTCTTGAGTTCACAGACGCCATAATTAAACTTGAAATTAAGTTTGACTGTCTTAGTGGGTAAAATATTTTACATTTACTCTGTTGCATCCCTTACTTAGTGCCATAGTTTGCAGAGGTTATAGGTATCCCTTGCAGAAATGTTTCAGTCAGGAGAAAGGTACACAGATGTGAAAAACCTTTGACCGCATATCCACAGCCAGATGTGGTGGTTTTGCCTCAGCTCATCAGACAGGCTTCTGTTATTAGCCCTATAAAGCCAAATGTAGCATATTTGATACATACGGTTCCTGAAATGTTTTGCATCTGACACCTTATGCATAATTTAATGATAAAAACTTTGTTCAAAATCCTATTGTAAACAATCAGATATACCTGATAACAGCCAGTAGAAGACTACACAAAAAATAATCTTGACTTATCGCATAGTAATAAATTATTAATATCAAAAATGTATTTCTGTTTTTTCTTTTTACATATTTTGCTAAAAGGGCAAATAAGGAATTCAAACCAAAAAAAAAGTAATTTTCTATTTTGTTTTTTTCTTGGATCGGGCTTTAAAGAGTTAAATCTCTTGTCAAAACCCACCTTTTCTCTTTGGCTTTTAACACCTAGCAAAACATTGGGCTTGCTTTTATTTTATTTATTTTTTAAATCTTGTATTCCTTTTACTCAATTTTATTTATTTAATTATGTGAATGTTATTTTACCTAAGTTTACCCATGTACAGCTTTTAGGTCAGCTGTGTTTGTTTTTAAGTGCTTAACAAATAAAATTGAATTGGATTGGATGCAGCATCACCCCCTAAGTCTGCCTTCCTTTAAATTACATCAGACTTTTTTAAGGTGGGTGAAATCAAAAATAGTTCCACATGCCAGAACATTTTGGCCTAAAGTCCTCTGCTGTCCTATAGATGGCTTTAGAAGAAAATATATTTTCATTTTAAAGCATCACTTTGAATTCAGCTTCAATTGAACTCTCAGCGTTCAACATGAGGTAAGGAATGATTTTACTGCAAGACAGATGACATTTTGAATTCAGCTTATCAAATGTCAGAACTAAAACTAACACAAACTGTTTGGGTCACATGAGGAGGACTAGCAGTGTCCTCACAGTCTGATAGATAGAGAAGGCAATGCTGCTAAATCAACATGTGTAATGCCGACAGACTCCTTCCAAGGAAAACTGAATGCAGTAAGTCAATTAAAATGTGCTTCAGCCAGTCATGGGTTTATGAGACTTCTAATCCAACTGGGTTGTTGTAGCTGTTTAATCTTTTAGATCTTTCCTTTGCGCTGATTTGTTTCCCAGTTAAATTACACAGGACAAATTCCAAATTAAATTTGAGATCATTTAGATGATCTTTCACTTATACTTCATTAAATCATATTATAAGAAATTTCTAAGCTTGAGGGAACCTCTCTATCTTTCCTCAGAAATACAAAGTGAAACTCCATTATTTCTAGAGAAGTATTTGCATAATAAAAGACAATATGTTTTTTTTGTTTTTTTTTACCTCATGATGTGAATTTGTTTCATGCAAAAATTAACAAACCTAGATATTTTAGTTAAATAAACAACATATTAGGTATTAACCACTCAGAAAACAGTCATGGGCTTTAGGACCATGAACCAAAAACTGGTTATGTTACCGTCATACAGGTACGTTAAAATATTTACTTTATAAAGTTTGAAATGTTTCTGAACTGTGCTATTTATAGACTTCCATGTACGATCTAGCTTGTGGTTCTTCTCTGCAGGATATTTTAAATGAAAATGTTAAATGAAAGGCTGGAAAAAGCACATTCTTAATGAGAAGTATAATGAAAACACAAATTCTGAAATAACTGAAAAGCTCAGAAAAAGCTGTTGTTATCCAGCAATATGAATGTCATCTGTGAGGATTGTGTTTTAGAGGCTGCTGTGAATCTGAGTGAGTTCAGTGTGAAATAACTTGGCACAAAATAAACCCTCCCTCCTCCCACAGATCCCAGCGGCATCAGATCAGACTGCAATTGATACCTGCAAGGCAAAAGCTTCCCTGGAGGAGGTAAAAACTCATCCTCACTGTCAGCACACCTATTGCTTCTGCAGAGCCCTCGCAGGCTCAATCAATGCATTTGTCTCACTGTCATGCTGTTTCTCATCACTGTTATATTCAGTTTTATCTCTAACACTGTGACATTGTGATCCATCTGTAGGCCTAGATAAACCAGAGAAACACATGATGATACATAAAGACATCAACACGAGTTCTCATTACAAACATTTTGCTGAATGTGACATGTTAAAGAATAAAATAAACATACCTTTTTTTGATTTGCTTTGATAAATGAGTTACATTCACAAACATTGAAAACATTCTGATAATTAAGTTGCTTGGCTTAGTAATTTAAAGCAGTGAAAGACGGCACATAGATCAATCATTTCATACAAACCTTTTCTGAATGTTTACATCTCAGCGCAGAAAGACGTACTACAAGGTTAATATTCTTCAAAACAAACACATGCCTACAAAGCACATTTTTGAAACCTAAATAAAGAAATGCATTTAATGGAAAGGTAAACAGAGATAGAGATCTACAAAACCTTAATAAAGGAAGGTTAAAGAGAAATATGCCAAGTGTGTGTCAGGGATTTAGAACAGGCTGTAACTGAAATCTTGTATATAATATTGCTTAATCTCACACTGCTGTGTGCCAAGTGTTTAAACTGAGTATGAAACTGACAATTTGCCCAGCTCCCTAATTAATTTGACTCATGATTATCTTCCCACATGAGAGCATTTGTAGGGCATTAGCATTCATGTACTGAATGTCAGCTAATCCCTAAATATTGAGATAACACACTTAAGGGCAGGTGAGAAAAAGATGCAAACATACAAGATTTGACATTTATTCAGATAACACAACCTTTTTAGGTTTAGACCTGTTTAGATACTTGCTTCATAAGTTAGTATATATGGCAAAAAGGGGAAAAGGTTGGGTACACACTGGACAAGTCGTCTGTCCATCCCAGGTTATCACAGAAACATACAACACTTAAATCTAAGGTGGGTATTTAGAATTGCCAGTCAACCTAACAGTCAATGTTTTCGGACTATGGGAGGAATCCAGAAAGAACAGACAAATTCAATGGAGAACATGGCGCCTTCTTAAAGCAACCCAACTGTTCTGCAAGCTGTGCCATCCTGCAGTCCAAAAATAGGTGCATTTCCATTACAAATGTATACAAAACTATGTTGATAATTTCAAAAATGCAACTTTTTGCAACTGTGGTATTTGCATTAAATAGCAAATACAATTCAAGTTGCAGGTTAATACTTCTGTTTACGTGATAACTCTTGAAAACAACATGGCAGCAGCGGAGGTAAACATGAGACATGTCGACGTTTCAACCAAGGCTCTAGTGCTCATCAGCGTGAACTAAATGTAAAAAAAATAGTCTCCTTCTTCGTCTTTTTACAAGGCAGTAAGTTCCAGATGCAGATCACGTGATTAGGGGGATGAGAAGTTGCAGTTTTAGGAAATATAAGAATTTCGATGTGACTGAAAAACCACCTCATTTTTAAATTAATGTTTCTATTAAGCAAATTTAAAAGAATTTGCAGCTATTGTGATATTAAAACACAAAATAACTTTCTCACTCCTGACACACTAGCAGTCTGCTTTTTAACACACAAAATATGTCAATGAGGCATAATCTATGTGCATTTTTTTACATGAAATTAATATTTCCACATTTAGACTATAGTTAAAATCTTCTCTTAACATTTCAATACACGATAATAAAGTGTGACTACGGCTGCAGATTATCAAAATCAAATGTGGAACACAAGGTTAAAAATAAAATAAAAAACAATAATTTGTGTGAGAAATACAAGGCAAGATGATTATTTTTTAGCACATTTCAGGAGAAGGACAACTTAAAGTGGCATAAAAGTTATTAGATTATTGATAAACATAAATAAATAAAGTGAATGAAAACTAAGAGTTAATGTGCTCAAGCTATTATAAAAAATGATTAATGAACATGTTGATCATAAAATGAAAGGACAAGACTTTAAACCTTAGATATATGGTTTCACTACTTTAAAGGAGAAGTATAGCTGGATCTTATGTTAGAGCCTGAGGGTAAAGTGTTTTATTATGCATCTCTGTGGCTCCTTCTCATAAAAGCTTCTTCATTCCCTAGAAGAGATACTTATATGAAAACAGGAGATGGCTTCAAGGTCAGTCCTGGAATCTCACAGTTATTTCGAATTTTCTAAAGACTGATATGAGTCCTGATATGACTGTATAGTACAATTGCAATATTCAACCTTACCTCTCATTTAAATGAATTAATATTTGATAGTACCCAGTGTCTAATTGTTTTGCTGTTTAATGTGAATTGGGATTAAGTGGCACATCTTTCTTTTTTATGCTTTGGTTTAATCTTTTTTTTACAGTTTGAAGCTGCTGTGCTTCCAAGAGCTGTATGTCACCAATGTCACAGAAGCACATGAGAATAGAGGCTTTAATACATTCTTCAGTCAGCACACATTCTGCTGCATGTTATTGATGTTGCAGCTTTAATAAACCAGAGTCTCACTCTTGACAGCTGTGTCATCCCCAGGCTGCAATATTAATCACAGCTGCACAGTACCGATGGTGATTAAGGCGAGCTGGTTAGCCTCTGATTGTGTATACTGAACCCCCATCCTTAGCTCAAGATGTATTATAAATAAATCTATACCAGACTTGCTCCATGCTATTAGATAGTTCTAACAGTTGTTTCGAGATTAGGCAGGCATGGCCTTGAAAAAGTTGTTTGCTGTTATATATTATAGTAAGACTTTTAAGGTGTAGTCTTTTGTAACTAAAAACAATTGTCCTTGTTTGTAAAATTCTGCTTTTAATAAGTAAAGTAAACTCACCAAAAAATGATCTATTTTCTTTTCATTAAGTAAATGATAATTAGCCCCATGTATCTGTATTTAAAGAACCTAAATCATGCTTTTACAAACCTTCCAAAGTCATTTATAGGTATGTATATTGACACATTTATGCTTTGAAGTGTGTATTGACAAATTGCACTTTAGATAATTAATTACCTCTGCCAAGGAGGTTATGTTTTTAGAACAAGTTCTGTGTTTTTCTCTGTCTGTCTGTGTACAGGCTATCTTGAAAAATTATGGACGGATTGTAATAACGTCTTTATCAAAGGTATCCCTCATGCCAAGGGAGAAATTTGGTGATATTCCAGATCATAATCTGGATAGAGGATTTTTTTAACAGATTCTCTAACATTGTCAGATAGGGATATTTGGCCAAACAAACAGTTCCCTACTAAACCAGAGGGTGGCAGCAGTCACTATTGACAGCCTTAGCATCGGACTCAATAAATTAGGAGCTATTTTACTGAGGGAAAAAAAAGAAAAAAAAAGAAAAGGGAACTTTGTTGTATTGTTAGCATAATTAAATGAAAACTGAGTGGATTTTGCCAAGGAACAATTAATTTAATTTTGGTAACAATCCAGATAATGTCGAGTTTTAGCTTAAGGTGTATAGGGCAAATTTGCTGCTTGGCAGAGGTCTGCGCTCTCCGAATGATTCACCAGTTAATTGTGAAATATTGTTTTTCTCTAACCCAATAGAAAGACACTTACTTCGAAGCCGAAGCAATCTCTCCTGTGGATGCCGACTATTTCATGAGATTGCATTATCACATTACTTCTGGTGATTAATTCGTCTTAAGCAAGGCTGAACAAAAGTACACACTTAATAGCAGAAAAGCTGATTTGATTAATTGGATGTCAGCTAAATGAAGGGCAGTTGCTGTCACTGTGCAGATTAGCTGCTGAAAAAGATACTTCAACTTCAAGCCAAGTAGAAATGGAATGCATCACAGCACTGCTTGCTAATCAAAAAAGTGGGAATTTATTTACTGTGCGACACAATCCAGTCAAGATAGGTGCCTCCTAGTGGGGCAGATTAAGAAATCTCTGCCTGTCTTGTATAAACCTGCCACCCCTGGTTAATAGTAGACAACCATTAGCCACCCACTCCAGGAAGCACATACCATGACCAAGATGCTCCTGCCTGGTAGACAACCAACACTGGTTCTCAGCAATGAATTGAGGCAGAGCATAATCAATTCTGCTTAAAGTTGAGATAAAGTGCCTGTTTTAGCATCTTGTCTATACTGTGATAGTAACTGTTCTTTTTTTGGTAGTGTGTCAAAAGCTTCTTTTTAGCTGCAAGAGACCTCATCCTTTGTTCAGCCTTCCTAAAAAATACAGTTAAGAGAACAAATAATAGTTCATAACAAATTAATACTCAAAGTGTCAAAAGCTATTCTCATCATATATATAATTATATATATTTCATCATATATATGCTTATAGTTAATTTTAGAAGGCTTAAAGAAGCATGATATACAACCTTTAAACATTTGGCAACTCCTGAGCACTCATACTGATAAAATACTAATGGCATTCTTAATGAGCCAATAGCATTTTTCCAGACGAATACACAATTAGGAGAGAATCCACTGTATAGTATACAATAAGGCAGAAGTAGTGAATTTGGTGCATTGCTTATGAATTGCTTTGAGTGTCTTCACCTTAAACCCTGACATTCATACTAAGAGTCAGACTTTTTGGCTTCATCCTGCCTGTCTGTGATGAGTTCAGCCGGTGGTGTAAGACTGCTGAAACACAAGCTTTAACATTTGCGTTCAAAGCAAGCCAATTAGTTTCTGAAGCAAGACAGCAATGTTTTCTGAATGTTTTCTCTGCATGTGAATAGTTGGAGAAAAAAAAACATCTCAGTGAGTCATATCCATTTTCTGTCATGCAAAGCTTGTCAGCAAAAGCAAGATTCAAATTTATCAAAAACTCATTAAAACAACGTTGTGCAGTCACTCACACTCTAAAAAATGACGAATCATTACAGACCTACATTATACATATACCACATTTGATTGAGTTTTAATCCACTAAAAAATATATACATTAAGCATTTCAATAAAAATTTTAAATGCTTAAACGGTGATTACTTTTAAAGAAATGTAATTCCAATAAATTAATTGGGAAAATAATGATAATTTCTGGAATAGTTAAGTAAAATCCAAAAGGCCCAACCACATAAACCTATTTTAAAGCCTCAGTCCTAAGGTTTTAAAATTATAATCTGCTAAAAAAAAGTCCTCTCGGATATCATTGGACCAAGCCCTCTTTATTTTTCACATCATTTAATGTGTTAAAATGTAAAGATAACAGTGACAAGATTCAGCGTCAAAATAGAGCAAACAACAGTAGAAGACATATCTAGTAGCTATACTGTAGGTGAATGATGATCAGTTTTCTCAGTTATACAGGATTCTGCCACATGTTGGCTGTGTCATATACAAGGCTTGTGGCAAACAGCAATGCACTTGTGATGGCTTCTTATTGCCACTGTACCATAAAGGTGAGATTTTTGGAGTACACAAGTAATAGTAGACCATTTATAAGAATTCATCTTATCTAACAGTATATCCTCCAGTTAATCTGAGTCTTTTAGTTGCTTCCCTGAATAATGCTCTCCTTACCTGACTTGTTTAGGTTTATTTTATTCTACACTCACCGGCCACTTTATTAGGTACACCTGTCCAACTGCTTGTTAACACTTAATTTCTAAGCAGCCAATCACATGGCGGCAACTCAGTGCATTTAGGCATGTAGACATGGTCAAGACAATCTCCTGCAGTTCAAACCGAGCATCAGTATGGGGAAGAAAGGTGATTTGAGTGACTTTGAACGTGGCATGATTGTTGGTGCCAGAAGGGCTGGTCTGAGTATTTCAGAAACTGCTGATCTACTGGGATTTTCACGCACAACCATCTCTAGGGTTTACAGAGAATGGTCCGAAAAAGAAAAAACATCCAGTGAGCGGCAGTTCTGTGGGCGGAAATGCCTTGTTGATGCCAGAGGTCAGAGGAGAATGGCCAGACTGGTTCGAGCTGATAGAAGGGCAACAGTGACTCAAATAACCACCCGTTACAACCAAGGTGGGCAGAAGAGCATCTCTGAACGCACAGTACGTCGAACTTTGAGGCAGATGGGCTACAGCAGCAGAAGACCACACCGGGTGCCACTCCTTTCAGCTAAGAACAGGAAACTGAGGCTACAATTTGCACAAGCTCATCGAAATTGGACAATAGAAGATTGGAAAAAACGTTGCCTGGTCTGATGAGTCTCGATTTCTGCTGCGACATTCGGATGGTAGGGTCAGAATTTGGCGTCTACAACATGAAAGCATGGATCCATTCTGCCTTGTATCAACGGTTCAGGCTGGTGGTGGTGGTGTAATGGTGTGGGGAATATTTTCTTGGCACTCTTTGGGCCCCTTGGTACCAATTGAGCATCGTTGCAACGCCACAGCCTACCTGAGTATTGTTGCTGACCATGTCCATCCCTTTATGACCACAATGTACCCAACTTCTGATGGCTACTTTCAGCAGGATAAAGCTGGAATCATCTCAGGCTCGTTTCTTGAACATGACAATGAGTTCACTGTACTCAAATGGCCTCCACAGTCACCAGATCTCAATCCAATAGAGCATCTTTGGGATGTGGTGGAACGGGAGATTCACATCATGGATGTGCAGCCGACAAATCTGCGGCAACTGTGTGATGCAATCATGTCGATATGGACCAAACTCCCTGAGGAATGCTTCCAGCACCTTGTTGAATCTATGCCACGAAGAATTGAGGCAGTTCTGAAGGCAAAAGGGGGTCCGACCCGTTACTAGCATGGGGTACCTAATAAAGTTGCCCGTGAGTGTAGATGTTTCTGCTGTCTTCTTTGATCTTCTTAATAATGTCCCTTTACAAATCTCAGAAGACCCTAACAAAATTGCTAAAATTATATACTGACGGACATTATATCCATGGTAGGCACGTTCTCAAGGCAGTTAGTCACACAGAGATATCTGAGTTAAGGAACTAAAAGCAATAGCTTCTGTTCCTTTTCCCGCAAACTTAAAATCAAAGTATTCTTTTCCTACTATGTTACAACCAGCATTTTTCTGGCACACTAGGTGTCAATAAGATACAGGGAAACTTTAGGTTGGGGTTATAACATGACAAATCCAAGGGAGTAAATGGTTGACAATTAAAGTTAAGTTTTGTTCAGTTAATAAATTGTTAAGTATCACAGCTAAGCTTCCTAGCCAGTTTCAAAATTAACACCTAGAATCTACCAGCCCCTAAATCAATTTTGGGTGTTGGTAGATGCACCAAGCAACATATACCCTTGTCAGTTTTAATGTCAGTTGTAACTTTGAACTTTGCAGCTAACGGGTTTTAGCTTCAGTTTTTACGCTGAACATCACAAATCTACTTGCAAACACACACAAACAAATATGGGTTTCGAGAACATAAATGTGCATGGAAACAAAATAACAGAAGCTAAGTAAAATAAAATCTCAGCCCACTCAACCACCTATCAAACCACCTACAGACACTCCTACACATGTTCAGTTCTCTTTCTGGCTTTTTCTGCCAATTTTTCTTCATTGTCCATAGATATGCATCTAAACTTATGATCTTATTTAAAACAAGAAAGAAAAAATAAATTCAGAAACATCTATAAAAAGAATCTTGATATATTATGAGTAAGTTCTGTTAAAAAAGGACTTGTCTAGGTATTAGAAATATGTTTATAATACTGCTCATCATACATCCGGTTTCCTATGCGGACAGTCCATTATCTGTCCCTACTGATGAAGTGATGCATATGCAGCACTGCTGCCTTCTACTGCAGTTCTAAGCCTTTTATCTGCTGTCTGCCAAAATGCCAAGCATGGATGGTTTCCAATCTTTTATCAGAGGCTCTTTTCTTTTTTCCAGTAATCTGTTTTGTGTTGCACTTCTGCTTTGTTTCTCCATCCCTCCATTCTACTTTCGACGGTTTGAGTCCCTTGGTAGATTTTCTGTTTTCTTTCATTTTGTTGTATTTTACCCTTTAATCCCCCTTTTCAACCTTCCCATTTTTTTCTCTTCTTCTCTTTAATCTTTAAGGCCTCTTAAAATCTGCATATTTACTCTCTTACCGTCTGCATCCTCCTATGCTGTGCTCCCCCTGTTTCTGTCTCACTCCTCTTTTTTTTCCACTAACAGATGGAGTGCGACAATTTTATCACCGTCCTTCAGAAAGTTAATGATACATTCATAGTTTGTGGGACAAATGCTGGAAGCCCGAGATGCTGGATGCTGGTAAATATCAACAGACAAATTCTCTCAGTTTGCTTTCCTCTCTTTTGACTATTGTAAGTGCTCTGCAATAAATCTAGACATCTGAAGATGAGTGGTATAGAGCATTTATCTATTTTCTGAAAGATTTTTCTTTCTTTTTTTTGTTGTACAATCAAGGTTAACAGTTTTTGTATTTATACCCAAAGGTTGTTTTTTTTTTTTCTACTTCAATGCTGTCCTCCAACGATAAATTGAATAGAATTTTACTCAGTGACTGAAGGGTTAAATATGTGATGAGATAGAGCTCAAGGAGACTTCCACTTGGCTCCAATATCTTCCACTTTTCCACTGCAGGTAAATGACACTGTGCTGACAGACGTCCACGGTGCTGGGCAGATAGCGTCAGCATCTGAAATCTCGCCTCCCTACCCTTCGCAGAAGTCAATCAACTTGCCTGCAGGTAACAGAATCAAGGAGGAAACTTTACCTCAGAAATATCTTAAAAGAGAGGAATAGAAACATAAAAGATAATTTATTTGTAATTCCACATCTGATAAAGACACAGTTCAAAAGCATTATTGCTTTAAGAGTTGTTGACACCAAACTTAATCAGTTTGATACAAGTAAAGGTAAAATAGGATCAAATAACTTTTATGTGATTCTTTTTAAAGAAATATTTAAAATTTTCAGATATGTGATCTAGGTTACCTTGTACAAGTTAGTTGCAAGTCATCAGAATATTAAGTAGATTTATATTTTACCCAAAATATTGACCCAGCATGGTACGACTGCAGCCATCTGGGTGCAATAAAGAAAGGAAAATGAAGCAAAACATGAATTTGCAGATATGGAAAATGTTAGAAGTTCTATGTATTTTCTCATAGTTCCATAAGACAGAAACAAAAACGGAACTGCAGCCTAGTATTCATTTTAACTGAAAGGTATGCTGGTCAGTTTTCTTTACACCTTAAAGTCATGCAGCCATGGAAGTGATGGACTCTCTGAATCCAGTTATTTGGTATGACATAACACTTTGGGAATATAATGTATAAAGGAAACAGTGCTTTTCTTACTTGATGCAATAAGATATATATACAGCTTTCATTTTAGCATGTATCTTCTTCTGGAGTAAAGCCACCCTCAGCTCTTCATATTAACTCAGTCTGTAAGTGTGAGGAGCAGCAAAGCGGCACTGGTGAATCCTGGGCTGCCCGGAGCATCCTGGCTCTAATAATCATCCTCTATCCATGTCATGGAAATGACAAAACTCTTTTTTTCTCTGAAGCCACTCACAGCATCCAGCTTCAAACGTCTGCTTTTTGCTGATCATACAACTTTATTTATTTTATATAAAAAAGACTCATTTTAAAACTGGAACTTGAACAATCCCATAAATGGCTGATTGTTTTAGTGTGGAAAATGATCTGTTATACAACTCACCGTGGGCTGAGTAACTTGAATCATTTTACAATATAAATAACTTAATTTGTCTAACGACTTAGTCTGATGCTAGACAAATCTGAAAGAAGAAATTACTCACTGGTATCAAAGAGTTTTGTTACCTGCAGTATTCAGCTATATCTGAGACAGGAACAGGAATGAAAAAGAAAGCAGATGAGGACTAGTGTAGCCAAATTAAAGTTGCATCCAAAGTCTCTGGTTTAGGTTAGAGCCCTTATATATAAAAAAAGAATAGATAAATAATGGTTGAGGATTAAGATGTATCCTCTGTATGCAAATTCTGTTATTCATTGATAGAGATTATATATGTGAGGCAAATCTACTGAGGTAAAAGCTGAATAAGTATAGAAGAAAAGCTTTTCTTAGAGATTCAATTTTGTTTTATTTATAGGATAACCCTGTTTCTTTTTATGTTTTGAGGTCAGGGCCAATAGAAGAAGTCTAATTTAAGGGCCATTCTAGCTAAATCTCCAGTCTGACCACTGGGAATTTCCAACTTTTTAGTTCAAGCAGGATGATGAAACCTTTGCACTTACTGCTGCTGTAATTTACATAACATAAAGATGATTTTTTTTTTTTTATATATATAGATCTCTAAAAACTGATGTAAATGCTGTGACAGTATTTAGCCTATTCCTAGATTTTTGCCTTATGGTATATATTTAATCTTAGGATCATTTCCTCTTTTGTCTAAAGACAGACCATATATAGGGTTGGTCCTGTCTCTTTTATCTTATATAAATTACATTTCCAAGCTAAAAGAATTGGGTAGTATGATACTAAAGCTTCACAACACTACAAATAAGGCGTGTAAAATAAAATTCTTGAATGTGTAGTAACAGAGCCTGCATAGAATTCCCTAAATCGAGATGTATCTAGTTAAAATGACCTCCAGTAGTCATTGAGAGACTTGCAAATTGTATGTTTCTTCAACCATCTAATGCAGATGGGCTGTTTAAAGAGGTACTTAAATCAGTGAGGATTCGGGTGCTCTGCGGGATGCTCCTCCACATGGGGATTAATTGTGTATGCAATGAGCCGACCCCTTTTGCACAAGCTCAGCAGCATCTAAATACTGATCAGTCCTGATTAAGATGTCACTGCCTGCCATGATTTCAAATGCTCCCCCCTCTGCATTGCTATGGAGACAGAGCGTTGGATTGTAACAGTATGGTGATTGGAAGCTCACAGGAGCAGTTGCTGCTCTGCCTTATAATGTTGTCTTTTCTCTCCATTCTCTACCCTGCTTTTTTATATTCCGTCTTTGTCTCCCAGGCTCCCTTTTTTTCTCTAACCTCTGTATTCAATGTTCTTTCCTCTTATTCATCCCATTTTTTTCCACCATAGTCAATTCTCTCTCCGTGTCACTCCAATCTATCCTCTACTCCTTTTAGGGCTTAGTACTGCCTCCATCAAGTATGCCGTCTTTTTTATTACCTGCCACTCACCATTTCCTCTCTTGTGTGTCTTTTGCTTTTCTTGCCTGTCTCAGATGGGAGCATGTACTCTGCTATGTCGTCAGTGGGAGGTCATGCTGGCTCGATCCGTCGTACATTTGGCCCCCAGAAGCTCCTGAAGACGGAGAACGTTTGGCTGCTAAGTGAGTAGGAGGAGGGGAGTAAGACAGAAGCTATAGGCCTACAGGTTTAGATAAATGCATATGGAGATGGTGGGTGCTGCTCTCTGTAAATCATCAACTATCATTCCCATAGGGAAAATTCATGTAGGTGTATTCACGACTGCTCTCACTCAGATAAACAGTTTGTCCTCCTGTTGATTCTTAATAGTTATTTCTGGAAAGGTCTTAGATTAACTGCACAAGGGACATTTGAAGTGATGTTTCTGGTTATTTCTTCATGGGTCAGTGCATTTTTAAAATAGCTGTGGATGTTTTTTAAATCTTACCTCTAGGTCCTCAGTTTGCTGGGGCTGCCATAATCCCCTCCTCAGAAAAATACAAGGAGGAAATCTATTTCTTCTTCACCGAGTACAACAAGACAGCCCGAGTGGATGAGGAGCCATACAGGGCCCGCATAGGCCGAATCTGCACGGTAACATCTCAGAACCTTTATTTTTCATGCTTGACATGAAGTCTGGTTTTGGTCAGCTACTTTCACCAAAGTCATTTCTGTTTTCTAAAGGTTACAATGATGAGAAAAAAACTTTTTGAGACCGTTTTAACTAAAAATATCAGTAATGAGATTCCAGATAGTGAAGTGAAAAGGATGTGTTTTTATAGAGCATATGCAAACATCTGATTTAATCTGTCTATGGATTTAAAGGATAAATATTTGAAAAAAACATTTGGCAGGATTGGCGACCTTTTATTGTTTAGGGATGGTCCTTTTTAGGCCTCTTAATACACTAGTATCTTTAGACTCTAGTTGAGTCCCACCAGGAGATTTCTATGAACTCCCTCTGTCCTTAATTAGTGGCCTGCTTGTGGTTATTGTGATATTAACAAATATAAACCTTCACTTTTATCAAGCCTCAAATCTTCAAGTGTTTTGATTCTGCTTTTCTTTTGTGTTTTTTAACATTCTTTTGTTTAGTAATGTAGTTTTAGTATCATTTCTATTCAGCCTCTGTTTATTGTTTCCCTTTGGTTAATGGTCTCTATGTTTCTCAGCTCAGCTTATTTCGTGTTAATTAGTCTCTCTTCTTCAGCCTCCCAGCTTGCATGCTGTCTCGTGTTTTCCTCATTATCCTCTGATTATCACACCCGCTTCCAATGTCAGTCTCCTCACCTACCTCTCTGATATATAGTCTTTAAGTTCCCCGTTGGCTCTTGTTTCCATCTAGATCCTTCTGTTCTACTTCCATATACTTATTCCCTATTCTGTTTCTCAGCTTGTGTCCTATGCCTTTGGTAAGCTTGCCTTTTGTTATCATTCATTTTTTCTAGTCATCCTGCTGCACATGAACTCCTCTCTGCAGTTTTGTCCTGGAAAAAACACACTAATTATTACACATATTCTGTTCAACATTACACCCCTCTGTGTTTGATTTATTTGATCTAAGATAACTATTGATTGTTGTGAATGTCCTCCACTGTTCAGCATCAAAATGCTTTTGTGGAAAATTCTACTGGGTAAAGACTTTGGACCAATTTGAATAAAGGAGGATTTTATTTCCTCATGCTCATATTAAAAATTACAGATTTGTTCAGAAATGTGGATGGATCAAAGCCGACTGTAGGATTTGCCAAAGAACTGAGAACACTGGCAATTTTAATAAACTGTTCAGGCAAAAACACACAAACCTCCTGCATGTGATTCTTGTTGTCAGTCAGGAAAATATTTCTTTTATAGGAATGTGTCCCAATTCACATGGTTCCCAGCATATTACTGCTAACATTAATAGACAAAAACGATCAAGGGAATCAAGTTTTGTTATGTTATGGGAATATAATGAAGATGATAATGATGAACATGATAATAAAAGTAATGCAAACATCTTTATCCCCTATTTATTTTACCTGCAGACACCATACCAGCAAAGGGGCTCCTGTGAATCATTGGTACAGGAGATGTTTAGGACTGCAAATGTTGACTCTGTTACCAAAAATAATCTTCCTCCCCAAATTCCCTAAATGAAAGCTTTGGCTTCATCATAAACTGGATGATTCATAATGAGCATCATTCAGTGAAAATGCTGCAAAACAACTGGCTGCTTTAGCAAAGTCTTACAATGAATTACATACTGTGGCAGACAAAATTTGACCAATTTGCCAGGCTGCCAAAGATCGTGTTAAAAACTTAAGGTTTCTATTTAAATTTCAGAAAGCTAGAAACTTAGACTTCACTTCACTTCAGAAAAAGAAAGTGTCTAACCATATCTTCAAGAAGTGTCATGATATTTAAAGAAGTTGGTCCCAACAGTTAGGAAACAGGCAAAAAATAAAAATTTTGTATCACTGATACTAGTGTAGAAAAACATATTATAATACACTAACAAACAACACAGCCTGGAAGCCATCCAGGCTCATAATACATGGGGAAAAATGTGAGTTGGAAAAGAAAGTCTTTTAGCTGCATCAAATTTGGATACATTGATTATTGATCTTTTGTAATTGATTCAAAAGGGTAACCATTTTTTTTAAACAAACGTATCCAGATCACCATGAATGTATTGGTGTTTGTAAATTGTGATGAGTAACCATATGACATGGCATTCGTTGTTGGTTTTAGTTACCAGAATACTTTGGATATATGCTTTCTGTAGAGAATCCCAGATAAATGCCATGTTTGCATTTCAGAGTAAAGAAATCTTCCTTCAGAGTATGTCTGGATTTTTAACCAAAGCATGCAGTCTGACATTTGTCTGCACATAAAAACTAAAGACTTGTTTATATTAATGTGCTCACGATGTCTGTAACTCAATATTGAGTCTTTCAGGGGTCTAACCTCACTCCCTCAAAGCAAATCAGTCAATTTGACACAAAAAACTTTTTTCTGTATAGTTATTTTTCAAAACAAGTCCCACCAAATGCTGGAGGTAATAACATAAATCAATTAGGCAGTGTAACATCTGAACCAATTTCTCACTGTCTATACACTTTGAAATCATATTGCATATGAAGTGAAACAAAACAAATTCCAAAAATGAAACTAAACTGTGAAACAAAGATACTTTTAGATACATAAAACTACGAAAATCTAAAAATGACACAATAAAATTACATAAAATTGAAATGTGAGTATAAATGGATATTAGATATGACAGATTTATCTGTTATTTTGTAGGTAATAAGAAAATATTTTTGTTTTTTTTCAAAAGTTTTTACTTAAACTGTCCAAATTTGAACCAGTTGTTTTCTCACTAGTTATTATGTATGCTAATGATCTCGTATGTGTCTATTTACTAAAAATAAGACAACTAGCTTTAAATAAATAATTTTTGAGCTCTTATCAGATTCTAGAGCGACTTCTGCACAACTTCAGTTCAAATTATTGAAGGGTTAGACACTTGATGATGCAGAGAAACTCCAGGTGTGTGGTATGATACATTTCATATGAAACAATTTCAATCTGTTTTACAATTGCTCTGATGACTAAATCTTTCATTGCAGAGTGTAAAATTGCTGTTGCTTTGCTTTAAGGAGGCTTATTTTAATCAGACTTTCCAATCAGCCACATCAGATCAGTTTTTCTAATTAGCTCTCAAAGGCAAAACACCTGCAACTCTGTGTAAGTCATGACTCCTTAAATGTAATAAGCAAATGTTCAAGTAGTCTATCTTTATGTTTACTTGATATCTTAAGTGAATTTTTTGTTTTCTTTTCCTGGCTTGCATTTGCAGAAATGAAGGAGTCTGGTTGTATTTGTTCTGATCTAGATATAAATAGCAGCTCAGAGAATTATTATTCTAAAGCTTGCTTTTAAAAAAAATAAAAAGTATAAAATGTTTCTTCAATTATTGAGATCCGAATGAAGCTACCAGATTTTTAGCCATGTTTGCAAGAAGATAAAGAAATATCTTAGCCTTCATGTATAAAGCTTTGAAAAACAAATGGAAACTAAATTTCAGAGGACACTGAAGGAGAAACTACCTTCTGTTGCACTGTGTTAGGGGACAACAACAATAGAAACAAAGCAATCACAAACACGATCAATCTGGAGAACTTGCAGCCCCCTTGGGTCATCCCTAATAAGAACCCCACTGCTGTATTTCCAGGTGGACGAAGGCGGCATCAAAGCCCTGCTGGCTGACTCCTGGACCACCTTTATGAAAGCCCGGGTCATGTGCGGTGCAGGAAATACTCAACAGCAGTACAACAACATGAAACAGGCTGTTGTCCTGACGGCTCAGGACAAGAGGGCTGGAGTCATGTATGGCCTGTTCTCCAATGCATGGTAGGTGAAAAAATGAAAACCTCTTCATTAGATCAGTATTCATTAATTGGGGAGTGTTGCCCAAGTGGTTAGAGCAGTGCGCTTGTGCTGTGAGAAGATTCCAACACAGCCTGCTCTCTGGGTCCCTGAGCAAGATCCTTAACCCCTCGCTGCTCCCCAGGCGCCACACAATGGCAGCCCACTGCTCCCAAGGGGATGGGTTAAAACGCAGAGTGAATTTCCGCATTGTAGGACAATAAAAGGATTTACGTTTACATAATTCAAGAGTATAACTGGCTCAATAATTTAGGATTTCACATAGTATTACTATGTGAAATTAAAAATACATTTAGGAAACTTCATAAAGTCTGGTATTTTATAATTTACTGAATCAGATTGTTTACATTTTTACTATTAAATTAACCTCAAATGTTTGATATTTGGTTTTAATTTAATCATAATTTTATTAGATAAATCTTATGTTGATGTAGAATGTAGTAGGATCAGATGGAAATAATGAGGTTTTAACTGTTATTAACTTTTCATGTTTTAAAAATTGCCTGTAAACTTGGTTGTGAGTTTATGGTCTATGAATACAAATTGTCTAGAGCTAAATAGTCTGCTTACAAAGCTGTGCTGTTCAGAGGGAGAAAGTTGTTAATGGAGCATAAAATAATTTTTTTTGTATAATATATATATAATAGAAAATTAGACAAATGAAAAGTTTGTGTTTTTTGATGAAGAAATATTGTTATGGCCATGTTAAGGTCAACTCAATGAAGGGAAACACTTTTGATTTGACAGCACTAGACAGCTATATGCAACCTTTCCAGAGATGAAAGCCTCAAAAGGTCATTGCTAAAGAAGCTGGCTTCTAACAGCTTGCTCTATCCAGGCATACTAAAGGAAGTTGAGTGAAAGGAAATGTGTGGAAGTTAAAGAAACAACATGTCTTACTGCAGCCGTCATGCTGTTCAATTCTGTTTTATAATTTTTAAGAGTAGATTTTTAATGCACCATGAAAATGTTTTAAAAGTTAAATAAATAATATAATTCCAAAACTGTGATTGTGTTGGTTCATTGCCAAAGCAGAAGTACTGGGTCAGACTGTTTTTTAAAAGATTACTCTCAGATTTAAAGATACATTAGGTTAGTTTTTACTGAAAATAACTTTATAATAACTGCTTTATTTGACCCTTTATGACTAAAATATTAAAGAGCAGTGTCACACCTCAGGAGTTCAGTGCCAATGCATCTATGCATCTATATCTGGCGCTGTTCAACAGATGTGACGTCAAGAGTGTCCATGTTAAATGTGTCCGACCTAGAAAACAATCAAAGCGTTATGTTCAAGATAGATTTTTTGGATAATCAGAAGCGACCAGCCTCCAGCTCAACTCAAACACAAATGGCAACTCCACATAAGGTGAAAAAAGTACCCAAAAAAGGTGTGAGCTATGAAAACCAGCAGAAAATGTTGCAGTTCTGTTTTTGGCCACTTGGGGCAGTTTAATTAGAAAATTCCTAAAGTCTTAGAGGTATATTAACTCAGGAAAGAGTTAATATGTTTGTTGTTTTTCTCTCCAATGTTTTCAAACATTGTTTTATTGTTTTTTTGTTTTTCTCTTGCATGTTCGAAATAAAGAATAACAAAAAAATTAAGACTTTTTACATGTGCATGGATATTTTTACATTAAAAAATAACATAGTATGGAAATATACTAGGAAATGGAAAAGAATTGCAAGAAATAGCAGGAATGTATAGTTATATTTAGTTTGTTTGGAGAAATTATACTTATAAAGTCTACAGCTGCTGGGAGGAGGAATCTGTGACAATGCTTTTTTGTGTACATTTAATGAAGTAGTCTGTCAGTGATGGACCTGTCCAATCCTCCTGTCTCCCACCACTTGTGCTGGGTAAATGGGGCATCCTTGGACAGAGCTAGCTATCCTGACCTGCTTATCTTACCTCTTCCAATCAGTTTTAGATAAGCTGCTGCACCAACAAACCTAGATCTGCTCTCTACATTTGCAGGGAACCCAAAGCAGAAATAAAATTTCCCTTAGTTGTTTATTCATCCCTAGTCATACTCATTCACCAATGAGTTTGGTGCTTTTAGAGCCTGTATACACAGATGCATCCTGGACATAACTAATAACTGTCTCTTTCCGTGGTTAAGGGTAAAATAAGTGCACTGTTACCCAGTGGTCCAAACTAATCTTTTCAGACGTAAATTAATGTAGCATTTAAATTGGCATTCAAGATTCCAGATCGGCAAGAATATATAAAAGACACATAATCTAAACTGCTAGAGGTTTAGTACGGGTTTGTAGAGCCACGGTTTCTTTAGAAATTGGTCCATTGTTTTTGATCATATTAAAGGTCCCTTTACCAGGAAACTTTGGTGCACTTCATTACTCACTCCGCTGACAGAGAAGCAAATTCTATTTGCCAGGAACACTTGTCACCTGCCTACACTGCCAACAGCACCAACACTTGCTTTATTAGCCATGGCCAAGAAATCAGTTTGACCTAAAGCTCTTACAGAATCTATGGAGTGCTGTCAAGAGGAGATTGAGAGATGGCAGTGCCAGCAATGCAGACAAGCCAGCGGCTACTATTAAAGCAGTCTGGGTTTTCTTTACACCTTAGCAGAGATTGATTACCTCCATGTCATGGTACATTCAAGCAAGTGGTCAGTAATGCCACACAACACAGGTTTAGGATTTTTTTTTTTTTTTTTTTTATTAACTGCAACTTATTAACTGCAAGTTAACATTTGATCATCCAACTTTGTGCAAGCAACCTATATTTATGCGTTTCACATTTTGAATTGAAATTCTGACCCATAGATTATAAGTAATTTAATTATGTTTACATTATTACGATTTACCCTTATACAGGAAACAGAAGACAAGTGCATGTATTGTAATGTTAAAAAAAGGAAATTGTGAATAACCATGAACGATGACTAATCCTCGGTGCACCGAAATGTTTGTAATTTTCACTGTAATTAAAAAGAAATCAGACATAAGGCTTGAAAACAAAATGCCTCCTATTTTGACCATTTATTATGTCAAGATGACATTTTCATTAAGTGATTTGGGTTAGACCTTTAAAACTTTTAAAAGTATTTTAACATTTTTCCTCTGTTTTAGGGGAAGAACAGTGATCTGTGCCTATTCCATAGAAGATATTGACCGAGCCTTCGCCAATTCTAAGCTGAAAGGCTACAGCAGCTCATTCAGTGGTAATCGCCCAGGGATGGTGAGAGAAATAATCCTTTTTTCTTTGTCATAATGTAGACACGATATGTGTACAAGCATGAGTCAGCCTCTATTTTAATGGCTGCAATGCTATTTCTGACCGTTAATAACAGAGAAGCACATTGAGCTCTTTGTTTAAGGAATTTCTTTCCTTTATTGTAGCCAAGGCTGATGTGAATCAGTTTTTCCCCTTTGTCTTCAGTGTACACGCAGAAGTTCTTCACCAGCAGACACTCAGAACAACATCAAAAACCTTGGCGTGATTAGATACCACCCAGAAATTGAGGATGTGATCCGTCCGGTTGGCGTGAATCCACTCGACCTCCCCACAGATGACCAAATCACTCACGCTGTCGCAGATATTGTCCTGGCCGTAAATGATGAGCATTACACTGTCCTGTACCTCGGAACAGGTACGTGTGCGAATCTCTGTGTCAAAAAAGCAGTAGTGGTGGTAATGATAGCATTTTTTTATATTAGTTTCTGGTTTTTGGAAAGAGGTTTTTGTTATAATATTTTTTTTTCTTCTTTATTCTTTTTCTTTTGGCAAGTTTGTCTCTTTTAAAAACAGTTACTGATTTAAATTTCACCAAAGATATACAACTTTTACAATTTATATATCCTACCTTCAAACAAAGATGGTGACCAAATCATGCTGAGATCAGCCACACTGCAAAAAAAGTAATCTACATAAGTCATTTTTTCTTAAAATAATTGCATTTTTTTTCTTGAATTGAGGAGGAAAATGAGACATTTTGCCAATGGAATGAGACAATTTACATTTAAAATAAGAAAAAACAATTGCGTTGTCTTTTTTCCAGTGAATATTATCTAATTATCTTATACTAAGAGTGAAAATACTCATCCCATTGGCAAACTATCTCATTTACCTGCTCAAAATAAGGGTAAATGCACTTAATTTAAGACATTTTAACTTATTTCTAGATCATTTTTCCAGTGCAGTTTTATCTATACTTAAGAAAAGAAGTTTGCAGGCTTTAACTGAACCCAATGCTACAGGAGATTTGTAGGTAACCATGAATTCAAGAAATATTTAAATCTCTGCAGAGGTGTAATTATTGCTAAAGCAACCCTTTGCAACATTTTAATAAAACATTACCTTAATTAATATAAATTGAATACATTTTCAGGTCAAATTACAGCACTTGCTGCATGCTGTAGCTTGAGAGGGTCAGATCCGTCACTGACTGAGTCATGTGACCAAGAGCACTGCTGAGCTCCACTTAAACACGACAAGTTGTTGTTAGGCAACAAAATTTATATGACCTTTACCTGATCAGACATAATTTTGGTCCTCTGATGTATTATTTGATACAGAAGAGTAAATGTGGCCTTGTCTTTACAAGGAATTCCATGACTTTTGAACCTGCTGGTCCAAAGTGGTCTGCTATCAGATTTGGAAATTTCAATGGACAGTTCAATGTTGCCAGTTGCTTTTGGGAGCGCTAAACCTGTAAGTTCACAATCTAGCTCCCCTTGTCCCTGAACGTTACACAGGATTGCTTTATTATTTCTATTACTGAAATCTCCTATTAGCAAGTAAAAAGGATGTCAATATTTTCACTGAGGTTTGACTTATTTGACATCTTGCTGTATCTTCATCTGGTTCTCCATTATCCGGAAAAAAAATGTCAAAATGTAAAATCTGATCTTGTATAAATCAATGCAAGTAAGCCTTTAATCTGCTTATTTGGGTCAGATGTCTGATGAGCTTCAAAAGTTGCAAGCAAACAATCATTTTTTGCTCATCTTATCGATCTTGAATATATGCAATTAAGATATAAATTGTCTGTCAGCAATTAATTCTCACAATACTGTGTCCAGCTAACCAACCTATGTACTAGCACTTGGTACAGAGGTTGTTCCCAGTATGTCTATTCATTTGTTGGGTGTAAGTGTAGAAATGCATCACAGCATCAGGATAAAAGTTACACAGTGCATGGACTGCTTTTTATTTGAATGGAAGGAAGGATATTGGCTTACACCAACTGTGGTACTTCTGACAGTATTCAAAGATGATGCTGTGGAAACATAAATAACCAAAAGCAGAGCAGCCTCTTCCTTGCAGATACAGATGTGGATGTATATCCTACTGGTATTACAAGCTCTTGTGGTTTAATGTACATCAGTTATACTGCTTGGCACTCATCTTCAAGCAGGCCACATTTTTTCTGTCCTTGATTTGTCAACCACATGGTTTCCTGAGCAGAAGAACATGCATGAGTTAACAAGTCATATATCATCCTCCATGCATCTTGCAAAGGTCAAATATTGTCCTTATTCACACTGTTAAGCTAAAATAGTGCATCGTAGCATGTGAAGATGACATATAGGAAAGAGCTGGCTAGAAATGCATGTTAAAAAAATTATGATTATATTACAAAATTATCAAACTGTAATTTAATGTAAAATATCAAAAAACAGTTTCATCTGTCAGAGAATCTCTTTTTTTCCCATCAAAGCAATGACTCTAAGGCACAGCTGTTTGTTGTAGCAGTTCATCTAAAAACTGCTTCAAGAGCATTACCATGGCAACCATCACAACTTGTATCCCGGTGCTCTGTATGTTCTGAACGTGTCACAACTTGAGATGCTTGTTGTCTTTTTTTTTACTACGGCGTCTCTCTTCCTGTCAGTCATCAGACCTTTCTGGGTTGCTGATATTTTTAGCTGAGTGAAACCAAAGTAAAGACAAAAAAAAAAAAAAAAAAGATGGTCGCTCACTGTGGGCTTTACTAATCGTGTCACTTCTGGCTGTGGAAAGGGACAGCTGTCAATCTGTGCTGGCCTAAAAAGAAAGTAGAGCTGCTTGTTTCACTCTTGAATGACTGTAACATACTGGAGCATTACAATTGTACTTTTTTTTATTCTTTAATTTATTTTTCACACCATTTTAAAGAGGCTTATTTGTGCCATGAAAGCTTTTCGTTTTGATATTTCTTTCAAAAGCTTACTTTGTTTATATGAGGTCAGACCACAAACTTACCTCTCTCTAATTAAAGATCCAAAGTTGTTTTTGCAAAGACTACCTCTCTGTTCAACTAAGTGCACACACTAAGGTCGACTCATTATTGCAAAGAAAGAACAGAGATCTTTCAGCATGGGTGTTTTATACAGTGGATGAATTAAAACAAAATTTTTAATAATTGGTTTAAAAAATATTAGTGGTTGGATCCATGGTTTGAACTTAAATGCCCCTCTCTGGAGATCAAACCTCTCTTTGTCTCTATCTCTTGCTAACCTCGTCACGTTGCAGTTATGTGTGTGTGTTACTAGACGGGTTGTTGATGCTTCTGCTGCTATGGGTGTGTGTGTGTTATGAGAAAGGCTGATCAGCTCCTGCAGCCTTGAGGGTGAGCATTCTAGGACCTTTGTCTATCAATCTGTGACAAAATGCTGTCTCGCATGATATAGCAGGCTGTTATAAACAACTGGCCAAACCCAATCCCGACCCCCGCTTCCAAAAATTTTTTTTTTTTAATTCACCCCAACAATGGCCTACACTCCAGGGTGCAGGCTGTTATTATTCATCATGTACCAAGTGAAGCTCATCACTTGTCCTAATTGCTTTGAAGGAGCCTTTTGTATTTGTGCAAATCACAGGGAGAAGTTACCCCTATGAAAGGATTCAGCCTCAAATGAGTAAAACAGGATTCAAAGAATAAAAAAAGAATCAAATGAGCAGCTGTGGATTTGCACTTCATTGATGATAAGAAAGTTTGCCAGGGGACTATAAGTCCTTGCCTTGAGGACAAGTCAAGCAAATATCTTTCATAAACATTAGAGAGGCTGAAAGATGGTGTTTTGCAGTAGCTCATTTACTGATGTGAGTCTATAGAGCGAATAACACTGAAGCTATAAATCTCAGGAAAGGAGATGATCTCAGGCTCTATAAGAGCTCTGAGGAAAATACTTGAAGCTTTTACATCCATAATCACGTTTGTCTGTAGAGCTCTAGCAAACCCGCCATGAATCTGTTTGTAGTGCTGCCTAAAGGTCGAAATGACAAAAAATTGTAAAGTTTACATACTTAGAAAGACAACCCATGTTCTTCATCAGTGTTTGATAATAAATCAAACCTAGATAAGTTCGAGTTACAATGAAAGAAGTGAAATGTCCACGTCCTTTGGTCAACTTCAAATCTGTTGTTGTTACTTACAAAATGTATTCGTAGTCTGAGACCAAAAAATTCACTTTACCTGGAATAAAAATCCTTATCATGGAAAAAAGCAAATGAAACAATTAGTTTCCAAGTAAATATCTACTTCAAGTCAAAACTAATAGTGTCACTAGGGGTTTATCCTTTCACATGCTGTAACTAACAGAAATGTGAGCTCATTAAGGGCGGATTAGACTTCTGCAACAGCACACATCAAATGTTGCTTGGATCTGGTCCTGAACCAGTTTTGCTGGTATGCTTCTGCACCATCGGTCTGGAATTTCTAGGGACGCACAGCAGTTTCCCGCCAAAGCACAAGGGGATAACCTGACTCCGCCAGATGGATTTGCTCCGCATATCCATCTGGAAACCTTCCATTGAAGTAATTTTGGGAAGGGGCGAAAATACTGGTTAGCTGATTGGCCTATGTTGGTGATAGACGGGCCAAATAAACCGATCAGATCAACAAAGCATATGACGTACTAACAGAGCGACGATGAAGAGGAGCCAATTGACAGATCAAACTCTTGCCGAAACCAGTCGGGAGAAGAGCAAAAACATCCTTTCCTCTGAGAAAAGCCTCCAGAGCAGTGTTTTGCTCTGCTTTCAGTGAAGAAATACTGATTATTGATTTCTACAATTTTAAAACCTAAAGGTCCAGCTTTTACTGATCATGAATTATAAATCCCTTATCTGTGGTCAAAAAATATAGAAATATAGTTGGAACAAATAAGTAAATAGTATTTTTCATTTTTATCACAACTTTATTCCACAGTAAATTTATAATTATATGTAATGGTAAAATTTTTTTTTTTTTCCAAAATGAAACATTAAGTTATAACAAAAAAATAAACAACTGCTTACTATCAGTTAAAAGTTATAGTTGTACTTAGTATGAATGCATTCTCTCTCTTTGTCTAAAAGTATACAAACATATTATTAATAAATCAAAATGTATACCTTCAACCATCTCATAAATTTAATTTGAGAAAAATCAATTAATTCAAAAGTAACAAACTACAGAGATTTTTTTTAAAGTTGATCCAATTGATCTTTTTTTCAGTGTATCAAAAGGATCTTGTCTCCTAAATGCATGACAAATGAGAACTAGGCAACCCTAATAAACTGAAAAAGATAATTCATCTTTTTTATGCATTTAATTTAACACAATTGTTTCATGTTAACAAGGTAGGACATGAAAAACGAAGCTTGAATAGATGCAAGAAAAGGATA